CGCCAGTGGTACTCGCCAGACTCGGGGAGGCCAGGGGGGCCAATGCTGGCTCTGGAAGGGAAACCTCGCTCGTGGAATCGGAAGGCATCCTCAGCAATGAGCTCAAAAGTCATGCCCTGGATACGAGAGGCAGTACCCCTGAAGCATCGCTCGACGACAGTCTCATCGAGACCGAGAATCTCAAAAATCTGAGCACCCTTGTAAGAGGCGAGTGTTGAAATACCCATCTTACTCATGACTTTAAGAATACCGCCGTCACAGGAGTGCTTGTAGTTGCGGATAAGAGTCTCGTTAGTGCTCTTCTTCTTGATGAGACCCTCACGATTCAACTTGAGAATACACTCGATAGCGAGGTAAGGGTTAATGGCATCAGCACCGTAGCCGAGAAGGACACACATATGGTGGACCTCACGAGCCTCAGCAGTCTCGACAACAAGGGCAACCATGGATCGCCACTTGTTGCTGACAAGGTGATGGTGAACCATGGCAGAAGCCAGAACAGCAGAGACGGGTACTCGGTCGGCCGAGGTGTTGCGATCAGACAGGACAATGACACGGTCCCGAGCCTCGATGGCGGCTGAAGCCTCGTTGCAGATCTCGTCAAGATGCTTAATGTAGCCTTGAACTCCTTGGTTTTTGGGGAAAGTCAGATCAATAGTCTTGACGGTCCATTCAGAGTACTTGTTTGACATGTTCTTGATGGCATTAAACTCCTCAATAGAGAGGATAGGGCTAGGAAGTAGAAGGCGACCGCATTGGGAGGCGTCCATCTCGAGCAGGTTACCTTGAGGACCAACATAACATTCAAGAGACATGACAATGGACTCTCGAATAGGGTCGATGGGAGGGTTGGTAACCTGGGCGAACAGCTGTCGGAAGTAGTCATAAAGAAGACGAGGGGCCTGGGTCAGGCAAGCCAAAGGAGCATCATTACCCATGGAACCCAGAGCCTCCTTCTCGTCAGCTGCCATAGGAGCGAGTAGCAAGCTGACTTGCTCGTGAGTGTAGCCGTAGGAGTGGAACAGAGGGTCAGACTGGATAGTCTTGTCATCAAGCTTGGGCGCAAGATCCAGAGCTTGCTCCATGATCTCGACAACCTTTGGCAGAGTAATCAATTCACTATCGAGCCATGCTCGGAAGTCATATCGGCTCGAAACAGCCTCCTTCAACTCCTTATCATCAATGATACGACCAGCCTGTGTGTCGACCAACAGCATGCGACCAGGCTGGAGACGGCCCTTCTGGATGACAGTCTCAGGCTCAACGGGAATGGTTCCAACCTCGGAAGCGCAGATGATGCGGTCGTCGTCCATGACATAGAAACGGCAAGGTCGGAGACCATTTCGGTCAAGGTTAGCGCCACAGTATCGGCCATCGGCGAATGTGAATAGAGCAGGGCCGTCCCAAGGCTCCATCTGGCAAGCAGCCCACTCATAGAATGCAGCTTTCTTGGGGTCCATGTGCTGGTTGCCCTGCCAAGCCTCAGGAACCATGAGCATGACCGCCTCAGGAAGAGAGAGAACGCCGTTGATGGTCAAAAGCTCGAGAACGTTGTCAAAAGCAGCGGAATCTGAGCCACCATCTTCGACAACAGGATACATCTGTTCAAGTTCCTCCTTGAAGATATCGGACTGCATGACACCCTCACGGGCACGCATCCAGTTCTTGTTACCTCGGAGTGTGTTGATCTCACCGTTGTGAGCAGCCCATCGCAAGGGCTGGGCACGGTCCCATGAGGGGAAAGTGTTTGTAGAGAAACGAGAGTGCACCAGAGCAAAATGAGCCTCATAGTCGGCGTTAACAAGATCGTGGTAGTAAGAGTAAACCTGAACGGGGGCAAGCTGACCCTTGTAGACAATGTTCTTGTTTGAAAGGGAGCAGAGATAGAACCAGTTGTGCAGACCAATGCTCTGAGTAGCACGCTTTCGCAGGATGTAAAGCTGTCGCTCAAACAGACGCTCATCAAACTTTTCAGGGTCGGTCATCTCGGGGGCATTGCCGGTGCCGTAAGCAGAGGCGAGGACAACAAAAGGCTGAGCGATGATGGGCTCACGCGATTTGGCAGCAGGTCCAAGAAGTGTCGAGTCGACGGGAGGCCTTCGCCATCCCAGGACTCGGAGGCCCAGCGACTCGGCAACATCTTCCAGCTGCCTCTTGGACTCCTGAAGAGTCTCCTCGTCGGGCTTAAAGAACAGGTTTCCCACGGCGTACTGGCCAAGGGGAGGCAGCTTAATGTCCTCCTCCTTCTCAAAGTTCTTGATGAAGAACCGGTGGGGGATGGATGTCATGACACCAGCACCATCACCATCTCGTGCATCAGATCCTACAGCACCACGGTGGGTCATGTTGCAGAGTAGGTTACGGGCATCACTAACAATTTTGTGGCTAGGCTTGCCCTTGATGTGACTTTGAATGTGTTAGCGACGGCTATATAAGTCAATTGACCAACTCACCAAGCAAAACCGACACCACAGGCATCCTTCTCATAAGAAGGGTCATAGAGACCCTGCTTCACCGGCAAGGCACCAGCCCACGAGTCATTGTTCTCAGTCTGATACTCATAAGGTATGTATGGTTGTTGCTCAGCTTCGGTTTGGATCTGTCGGTCGTCAAAGTCCTCGTTTAGGCCCATGCTAGGCAAGGATACGATCGAACTAGTGTGGGGTTGTGGGGGAGTTCGGGGTGGGGGATGTAGGATGGATCGCGGGGCGCGTTGGCTTGGTAAAAGCAGCGGAGATCTAGGATTGAGTAGTATTAGCACGGGCAAACGGAAATATGTATGGCAATCGATCAATTGCGTTGCGTATAACAGGCTGAAGCATGTAGTGTCTCGATATCTTCAAAGTGCTCCGAATGGTGGCCGAGTAGGTCCGAGGCTGTTGCGAAATGGCACTGAGGGGTCGTCCAGAAAAATGATTATGGCTCCGGCATCGGGCAAAGATAAGGAAATCTGACGATAAACTCAAAGTCACCACAGATGTGCCCCGCCAATTGCGCCCGCAGCTGCCACTATGAGTGGCATGTGCCGCGGTTTCTCTTCTTCTTTTTTGCTTTTGTCTTTGGCAATGGCTTTGGAACGTCATTCCTGGGCATACAGCGAGCATCATGGTAGTTGCGTAGTGGTATCCAGTTCAGATAGCGACCACTTCCAAGATAGACCGAAGCAGGTTTACAACCAAGCTTCTGAGCTGTCCTATCCCATCGACCCACCAGATTTACAGTGGTCTTCCGGGCGGGTCCCCTCATCCTCGGCTGCATAAAGTGGGATGTTGTAAAGAAGCAGAACCAATAATGGACTGCGCAATGCTAACGTACCATGCAACCATGCGGCTAAGACAAGGGGGTCCCAAGAGGCGCCTGGGATGGACGTCACTGCAGCGATGCCGCCAGCTGTCGCAGATGCAACACAACGCAACGCAATGCAATCTCAATGTTAGAGAAGCGCGACTGGACAAGTTGCTGTGCTTAAAGCTAGTGCGCCAGAAAGAGATATCACTGGCTCTGCTCGAATGGATCATGAGACATGCGAATCTCGGCGTGTCGCCAGTTCAAGTCGTGTCGTCTGCAGTGGTAGCAGCGATGACCCGGGCGTGGCCTCTCGAGTCTTTTCAACTTTCGAGAAGCTGCGGCCATTGTCGTGGGTGTTGTTGAAATCGAGGCCAAAGCCAATTCCAGTCCATGGTCCAGATATACAATCGATGTTGCTTTCAAATAGGAGTGCACAATACGACTTACCAGGTGGTGGTCCTCTTCACCAAGAGGTTGTTCATTCGTAAAGCGAAAGGGTATCAAAAGGCGACTGGCTTGCAGTGGCTAGCAGGATGGCACGTTAGATTCTAAGGAGAGGCGAACGCGAGAGAACAGAACAGTGGCAGTAGGAGGAAGAGATCAAGAGGGAAGAAAGTTTGGATGGGAAGAGGGCAACGGCTCTGCTTTTATGAAGGAGAGAGGAGGGGATGGGGGCAGTGGAAAGGGAATTGATGTCCGGAGCCGTCAACAGTACAACAAAGCAAATCAGAGTATAACACAGCCAGTCCGTATCGGAAGCTCTTGAGTCGCTTTCGCTTCGGTGTCTCTTGAGAGTCAATCCACTTGGGTCCAGCTCCGAAGCAAGCAGCTTGCTTTGAGCCAAGCCCCACGAAAGAAAATGGGCAACCGAATTTAAAAAAATCCAATGGAGCGGCTACGGCGTGCGTAAAGGATGGAGGGGGAGGGGATGGCAGGGGAGGCGTGTAGATGAGGAGAAGCTAGAAGTGGGAGGGGTGTGTGTCTCTGGAGTTGAGTCGGTAGGGCTTGCGGTTTGCTCTGCGGACGGTCGAGGCAGCGGCGGAATATTAAATGGGGGTTGTTCATAGTAACAGGCACCTACTAAAGTAGAGTGGGGGACTCGAGATGATCCAATACCAATGACTGCGTTTCTATTCGAGGTTTGGTGCAACGGATAGACTCTCATCCACCCGTGGAGGTTGTCGAAAGAGATGGTATTTCACATGAAAACTTGTGAGAACTCTACAAGCCCAACCCAAAACCGTCTAATAGTTCAATCCAACCTTCTATTCGAACCTTGTTTCCTCAATGACAATTCAATTATTTACAAGAAAGAAAAAGATAGACCTCATCGACATTACAAGTATATCTATCGTAGCTCTACTTACACCTATCTACGTCTTCGGCCTACTGGCTCCGAACCCCAAGTGGGTTGCACTGCACTGCACGCAGGACCCTGCCGTGGCCCCGTTTGCTAGGTACCGTCCCCCATGCAGCCAAAACCAAGGGAATTAAAGTGAATTAATTGGGGGAGCAGAAAAGAGGAAAACCAAGGCACATACGTTGGTAGACTACATGCCAGGAAACAACCGCAAGCAAATGAGAATACAGGCATTGTACGATGCCTTTCTCTCATCATTCCATAGACATGCCACTTTCTGGGGAGAATCACCTTGACATAGAGAAAGAGGAAGCTCAATAATACACGATAGCACACTTTTTTCCCCTCACCATCATTTCCGCTCGAGATACCCTGCACCTAATAAACATACAAACATAATATCACATTGTTAATAACATGTTTCCCATACCTAGCTACGCAGACATCCTCAGTCTTTGCACCCAAGCACAATTATGCATGCTGGTAACCTTTTCTCTCGTACAATTGATGCCCGACATCATCCTACAAACTTCTCAATCTCACCCTTCGGAATTTCCTCCGAAATCAAACCTGAAGCCTCACCGTCTGACGCTCCGCTCCGTCCCATCTCATAGGCTTCGAGGGCTATTCCGTTCACCCTCCTCCGTAGATCGGTACCTCCCGGACCAGGGAATCGTCCCTCAGCGGCACAATCCTCGTTGAAGGCGAAAACGCGCATCTTTGCTGCCTTCTCCCTCAGGGTGTCAGAAAATGGGTCAACGGAAGCATGAGACACGAAATTAGTAGGCCAATTCATGCCACTCGAATAATACTTCTTAAGCTATTTATTTTTGTACCCCGAAACTTAGAGGTCAACTTTTCTGTTACTCCTAGGTACCTATTTTGGATCTGCACATTTGGAGGGTTGAGATCTACCAGTGGCTACGTCTTCCAAAATAAAAACAAATTGCTGTTTATTTCAAACAGTGGCGATATATATACATCTCGAAGTGAGCTTCCCGAAATCGTAGCAGGGTCCTCCATAAATCCCCATGGATCCCCCTCATGATACTACCAACTAGGCTGCCTGCTCCCCGCGATGACCGTCAATCAATCCACTCGACGACGTTACCTGACTCTTGATTGTCCCTATTCACTGTCATTGATCTAGCTTGGCAATTCAGTAGTGTCTCATCGAAACAACATGCGGTCAATGAAACTGATCAGTGTATTGACATTATTATCACACAGTATCTACATACCTAGTATTTACGAATAGCCTCATTTTGCCGCTCTTATTTTCCGCTAGGATCATCTCGCTCCTCTCCTCCCCTCTCCGCCCTCTCCCTACGCCGTGCTCCGCTCTCCGCATTCATCTCAAGCCTAATCTGTTTTAACCGGCGTGGAGAGCTATAGCAACTGAGACTCGAGGCTGAGAGTCGTCCAATCAATCACAAGGCACCACTGCTATTATCGCATATCTATCGCCTATCCGCTGCCAAGCTGTCAATCTGTGAATAGGTTTGCAACATGGTTTCGTGTAAGAGAAATTGGGGTCGAGGGATGGATTGCTTTGCCGCTAGCCACGAGCCAACCACTTACGACCACACTCTGACTCCCGTTGAGTTGCCAGTTTGCCTCGGAGCTAGGATCAGGACAAGGCAAGGATGGGCCCCAGGGTCCGTTCAAGATGGCGCCGAATGGCTGGAATATGGAAAGATGCTGCTAACTCGTGCGGCGCCGGTTAGAACGTTAAACCTCTCTGTACAGGGATCATCTCGAGTTTTCAACTTGCGACGCCAATCATGGCCTGCCATTTTCAAAGCCGATGTCGCGCCCACGTTGTCTTTTTTCTCTGAGACAGGGTAAGGCAAGATGAAAAGGGCCTTTGACGTATTCTACAGAGTACGGGGGATCTCACTGCGGTTCTGATTCGCCTACTACATACGAAACCCCCATCCTTCACCACGGGCTACTAAGGTATATGCCACACTACAGTGCACCTCCGAGGAAGTGGGTGTTGTATCTGTTGTGCTGTGCAAGATTCGAGATGTGATTCCGCGATGACTGAGATGCTCTCCGCGTCCCTACGTACAGTGTTGTACATGCAAATACAAACGCGAGATTGTCACAACGTTTTCTTGTGTGTTGTCATTTGATGTGGCAAGTAAAATAGGCTTGTGAGCTTATAATGGTTGGACATATGTGAGCTTATAAACTATTTGTGTTTGGTGTTTAGGCAGAGATAGGCTGGCTTTGATCTTCAAGATTGTCTGTGCTAAAGTATGCCACGTCGACGCGAGCATGAGACCCTTTTCCCTGCCTTATTTATTTGCCTCAGGTGTTCAGTTTGGTAGCACTTGGCATTACTGAGTAACAAATATCCCTCTTATTGCATAGTACACTGGTGTGGAAGCAGACTATTCTGCATATGTAGTGGAGGTTTTCGGTGTGTTTTTTCGAGAATCGCCGAGCGCATCCCAGAGCCAGAGGCAGTGTTAGACTTACAAGCCGAGGTCCTAAACCCCATTTCGAGATTCCGAGTGTGAGAGTCAGGACCAGCGCCTCGCCTTGAATCGTAGATGCACTTGGATGTGTGATATTCATCGCCGTCACCCCATTATCTCACACTTGACAGTCAAAAGATGGACAACATAAAATCAAAAGAGGCGACCAATCAACTTCCCCAGATTCATACAGTTTTCTTATCTCTGACTGTAGACGCTAAAACGGAACAAGCACAAGCTCGTGCCGTGCATGTTGTGCACACACCACACGGCAGCCATTAGCGTGCGCCAAGGCCAGAAGAAGATCGTCTACTTTACCTTAATGGACCTTAGTCGACGCCATCGCGCAGTCTGTGTCGCTGTCTCACCATACTTCGGGAGTCCCTGCGGAGACCCTGGCCTGTCTTCGTCTGCTAATGTTACAGTTGGGCTTGCATTAAAGACGTCACTGTCTTTGGCAACTCGAACCGGTATACGACCTGTAGCCAATGGCAAAGACACAGATACTTTTTAACTCCCGTTGATGGTGAAGAAGCACATGTCTGGGGAAAGACGGCATCTGAGCATTTCCAAGGATCCCATTTGTCGATGTCTCTGATACATGGCCAGAGAGGGCATTGATTTCCGTGGATGACTCCTACATATGTAATAGAGTAGCCACTGAAGCAACCAGTGCGCCTACGCAGGCGAACGACCTTTACTCGGTCACATTTCAAGCAATACAGCCAGGTCTTTCTGTACCGTATTCTAGCGTGTGAGCCACAATTGCTTATCTTTCGGCGTTGCTACTATAATAGGTACATACGTATTTGTAGAACATGCTAAACCAGCGGTCGAATGGATACCTTCCTACCGACAACAGCTCAAACGAGAGTCGAGGGATTATGAATAACAAAGCAAGAAGCGCAGTTGGCCTACCTTTGCGGAGCTTCTTCTACTATGTGGACCATACCTATGTAAGTAGCAAGTTCGGCCTGTCCTCCATAGTATCCGTTCTCACGGTCTGGCGGAGCCGTCAATCCGAGTCTCATTCAGCCTGTCTGCCTACGAACCAGAGAAGCCAATGCCCAGACTCCTAGTTCCCGATCGCCGAACGACCCCATAGGAATAATGGGTGAAAAGACCTCAATTCACGGAGAGACACCGACAGTCTTCACGGCCAAACCCCGGACTTGCTTCCTAGTCTCTGTCTTTGCGTAACTCCATACCTAGTCTTGTTACCTCTCCCTCTCGCCTCTGCATTCCGACTTCTTCCGATGTCTATCCAGCTTTAAAATTACTAGGTAACTCCTCTAGACTCTACTGCCTGTACTTAACAAAGTATTGGCTACCTATCCGCAGTTGTTCAGGTATTATTCTTTGCATGAAGCCAGGCAAGGGTTCTAGCGTAGAAACGCAAGTAACGCCGCAGGAGTTTGTCTAGATGCTATCCATCCATGCCATGCCATCCATGTCAAGCAAGGCACACCAACGATCGATGTTTCAGTTACCTCACAAAATGAATAAATCACCAGCCCCTTGATGGTCGGATCATAAAACGCCGAATGGGAATTATACAGCGAATAGGCTTGGCTTGACGACTTCGGCAGGTGGTGATTTGCACCTCAATTCCAGATCGACAGAGTTGCAGTCGCTCTCTGTGGTTTCATTTCTCAGACATCGAGTTGCAGGAGTCTAGAACCATGAGAAATCTGCTGTAAACCGCTCATACCAAGCCGACATAGCCGCTGAGAAATATTGTGTTGATGCTTGAGGGGGTAGGACAAGCTGACCGATTCACGTCTCTGACCACCCTCGTTGTAGCTTAAATCTCATCGATCCAGCCAAATAACTGCCGAATTCCCGTTTAATTGATAATCAGTAAATCTTTCTTTCCAACGTTGCATTATTTTGACAACGTGTTTCCACCATGGCGGCTACTAAACGCGCCGCCGCGTCTATGGCGTGAACTGCCCCGCCATTAGGTTGGCAGGTACGGAGTAGTAACTTTGTGTTGGCCTGGAAATCAAATGCAAATACAGCCTCACGAATAGCAACAGCTGCACTTAATAGCTTGACGCGAGCACGTTCTGCAATTAATATTCATGTTCACCACACTGCCAGATTTTACACCGCGAGACGTAAGTATTCTCCAAATCAAGTCACGCTTACGGTCTAACAATTCAGTCGCATTCTCTGTGGTACAGATCCTCACGCAGTCCTTACATCCCACCTGGGCCCCTCGACGACTTTAACGAAGGCGCGCAAAACCAACAACATGGCGCAAACCAAGCGCGACAACGTACCAAAATCATCGAGCGATCAGCTCTCGCTCGACTTGCTGCTGATGAGCAATACATGCAGCGAAGACGATTGAATGTCCAGAACTATGGCAGCGGCTGGCTGAAACCTCCAGGTGTTCCAAAGACACTCCATCAAATGCGCGAGGAGAAGAGAGAGCAAGAGGAGCACCAAGAAGCAATGCGTCGAGAACAGCTAGCACAGGAGCTGGCTGAGGCCGAAGCCGAGGGTGCGCCTGGTGAAGAAGGGACGATGGACGATGTGCAGCTCGACGGGGCACAGGACTTAGATGATGAAATTCCAGATGCTGATGAAGGGTTTGGCTATGATCATGACGAAGATGAAGATGAAGATGAAGAGGAAGAGGAGGAGGACGAAGAAGAAGAAGAGGAGGAGGAGGAGGAGGAGGAGGAGGGAGACGGCGAAGAGACAGATGACGAAGCCCTGAGGGCAGAGCGTCAAAACAATCTCATGGCTGCACACATGCGAATGGGCGACGACGCTTTCCGCGAAGCACTTGTACGCGGCGAGCCAGATACTAACGACATGTACGGCGAAGCGGAAGAATACGAAGAAGAAGAGACTAATGGCCAACTTCTCGATGAGGATGATTTCGTCCAGGATGAAGACCTTGGCATGGACATGGACGCCGATCTTGACGAAGACATCCCCGAGGCAGAGAGTCAGGGCTATGAGCACACCGACTCTGAAGCCGAACTTTCGAGCAGCGAGCAGCGGTCCAGCAGCGATGAGGAAGAGGATGAAGATGACATTGACACAAGCTTCCAACCTCGCTCTACGACTCTCCCACCGCCGCTATCACCCACGTTCCACGGCGGTCGGTCACTCATGTCACATCCTCGCGCCAGTATGGACCTGAGCAACTTGCTCTCCCAAGATGGTAGCAGCTTCATGCACAGCAGTCCCGTCGGACGACGAGCCCGTCAATGATAGCAAGCACAGTTACGACTAATGCGACATGACCACAGCCGAAGGATAGATTTAGTTCAGACAGCATTGTTATATACCCATTCATTGTTCATTACCAAGACAGAATTGAAGAATTGAGCGCTCTCTGCTTTATCGCAGCTTGCTTGCCACAGGCTTGCCCAGAAGTGTGTGATTACAATCTTTGTAAGAGGGGCAACTTTTTGGTCGTTGCGGTGATGTGATGCGATGCTTCTTCCAGATCCCGAATCGTCATGCAGTACTTGTAAATATCAGAACGCCCAACCAAACGCCATTCCACAGTTCAAATAATACAGCCTCCTTTTCCTACTCTTTCGCAATCAAACGGTGGCTCTCCAGAATCGCCTCGAGTCGATCGTTGAGTCTCATCGTATAATCTGAGTGTACTTGATCAAAGTAGCCATACGTAAATGAAGAGCATGATGACTGCAGCGAAAAAGATAAGCCAGACCTTCCATCCCACACCAGTGCGCTGAGCCATGACAAGCATGCGGTTCATAGTGCCCCTGAGACGCAAGCGAGTCGAGTCGAAAGTATCGTTCATCTTCTCCGCCAACGCTGAGGACTCGCGAATCTCGTCTCCGATGGCGACAGTCATCTAAAAATCACATGTTAGTCGACCAGCCGGACACAACCTGGACAAAGGGAAAACTCACATCCTTGAGAACCTTGACCTTGCCCAGAATACCCTCCACCTGCGCATCGTTCTGACTCTCAAGCTCGTTGAGAACTGCATCGCTATATTGGCCCCTCTTGTTCGGTGTCGCAGAGCGAAATGAAGCGGGCCGTGAACTGTCGAAACCACCCTGTCCTAGAGGAGAGGGAGAAGGGGCGCCGTATCCGCCGTAGCCATATCCTCGGTTGGGGCTTGCGCTGACAGGTCGTCGCGAGGCTGCGTCGCCATTGTATCCCTCGAAGAGAGCGCTACGCGAGTCACGCTGATGAAGCGACGAAGCGCCGAATCTAAAGATGCGCTGTCAGTTGATTGTCCTCCGAATCCTATCATGAGTTTGTGGTAGTGCGGGTTTGCCACATATGATTGAGGGCATCGTACCGTTGCGCCATGGCTATTTAGTCGAAACCCACAGCTAGTATGGAAAAGCCAAGAAGCGGTTTGTGAGTTTAGGGGATGAAGTGTTAAAAATGATCGAGGGGTTCGCGAATCTTGGATTCTGCCCCCTACAATACCCTGGTTGTTTTTCTTAGGTGTTCTCTAGGCCGATCCGATGACAGCGGTCTGGCTATGGCTCATTGGGGGAGCACGGATGATACGTACCGAGGGGCTGTCCAATCCCGTATCATGGTATGTTTTCTTCTCAGGGACAAGGACCAAATGCTAATTCTTGATGACATTGTTAATGTGGCTTCTTGGTTAGAGGTAGGTATTTATTTATGCACAAAATCACAAAACTTTCGTGATTGGGTACTTAAGATTGATATGCCTGAACCGAAGACACAGCGACGGCGCATGCCAGTTGGGAGCTCAAGCGCAGCTACGACATCCACTATACTAAAGCTAGTGAGAAACAACACAAACTCCTCACGTTGACACCGAGTTTTTGACTGTATTAATGCCATTCCGTGCTACTCTTCCTACACGTGAACTGTAAGCGTACAGAATATATGCAAAGCAGGTGAATGCTAAAGGTGGCCGATGCTATCCACGACTCCATGCCGCCTGGACCCCCGAGTATATGTTTGGGGGGTCGTGGGTAAAACAGGTATAATCATCCACGCTCCATCCCTTTTGTTTATTGCTCAGTTCCAAAATCATAACATCGTACCCATTCCACCCTATATAGACCGGTTCGTCAGGAGTGAAAGTCGCGACGTGCATTTAGTCGGACATCTTGGTGTCCTTGTCCTCGGCGGGCTGGAAGTCCTCGTCGTCTTCCTCGTCCTCGTCCTCAGCAGGGTGTTGCTCTGCGGCCTTGGCGAAGTCGATCTGGGCACCACGAGTGCGGCGGCCCTCGACAATGTTGCTGGGGTCAATCTCCTCCAAGCCGTCCTCGTCTGCGTACGTTGGTTAGCTCGGTTCATGATCTCAGTGATGTACGTGGGCGCAATTACCAGCCTCGGCGACCTAAGAAAGCCATGTTAGCATCGTTTCGAAAAGTAAGCAGCAGAATAGCAGTAAAAATATACCTCTTCCTCTTCATCGCTCTCGTCATCATCATCATCCTCATCCATGGCAGTGTCCTCAGTGACCTGCTCAGCGAGAGCCTTGCCCTTTCCCTTGTTCTCGGCCATGGTCTGGTCCTGAACCTGAGTAGGGTCCTGGGGAATGGTAGCGCTGTTGTCGGACATTTTTACTTTAGAGAATATTATTGGGAGTGTTGATGGAAGTGAAAGTGTTGTGGTCTTTTTTGGTAGCGGTGTGAATCGAAGTAAAGAAGAAGATGGGTTGGAGGGTTGAAATGCGGCGTGGGAGCTCTGAGTGGATTGGGTCTGGGCGCGCGTGCAGTTGCGACAAGCAGATTTAAAGCACCTAGTACGGTAAGAGTATCCAACTAAAGGCACCAGCCTAGCAACCAGATAATGTTAGTCCCAATATGGCTTAGCCTGGCCGGAGCTCAGCTTCACCCAGATTCCATACCACTTACCTCGTCTCATCCAGTCTTCAACAATAATACGTATGCAATCCCATATAGCATTGCTATAGTGGATGCATGGATTCTTCTGAGACAATATTCAAGAGAATTGATAAATTATCGAAATATGCTTTACCTCATATTAAATCCTCATAACTATTGCCTCGGGACTACTGGCCTCAGCTACCACACCATGAATGATGTCTCAGAGGAAACTTTTGAAAGAGCCATTGCTCTACATGCCATTGAAGATCTTAATGACTATGACGCTATGTGTATTCTCTAAAAGGCTTGTAAGGACTACCTAGGTAGGCATTCCTCATGGGCTGAGAGCGAATGCGCAACCCCGATCCAAGAAGGCAATGATCTCGATAAATCCACAAGAATGGTGCTTGCCATCACACCAAAAGTCAATAGCTGGGTTTCTTTTATTGCATAACGAACCCTCATTTTATAAGAAAAAGCATGAGCAGGGACTCTCGGGGCGACCCGTGGAACATGTTCAATACACTTGATGATAAGTTCAACAAACCTACGTCCTATATATTGAGATTGGAACCTATTACTCGTGGACCGTGGAGTTTACTGTTCAGTTACAGATTCCCATATGATACATTCCAACCTTCATTCTAATGGCCAACTACACGGAGGTTTCAATGCTTTAAACAAAGCCCGTAGACATATAGCATAGCGGCGCAGGGATGCCGCTGAGTTGTCTTTCCGTATCTTTGCAAGATTCAGCCTGACGCTCCAGGTAGTTAGTCACTGGGTACTGCAGGCTCCTGTAGTATGAAAGCTCATTCTACGCCTCCAACTCCGACGAAGTTATCGATCGAGAGTCTCTACGACAATGCATGTGATAATCGAATTTGGTGACGTGTCCTTCATTGTACATATAAATGAATACTCTATTTTTCGCCTCCAGCCAGAGACATAACCACCACAATGGCAATGAGCCACCAGTACCTAGTTGAATATTAGCAACTCACTCTATGATATGTCCTCTTGTCAAAACGACTTACTTTTGCAAAAATGATTTGGGCTCCTCCTCCTCGGCAGCCTTTCTACCACCAGGTGACAGTACAACCGGCTTGTTCAGCTCAGGTTGGCTACCCTTCTTATCCGCGATCACAATTGCCTTGGGTCCAAAGTCCCTCGTCTGGCCAGCATCAACTCTAACACCCTTCAGCGTCACGCTGCGTACGTCGCCGCTCTCGTCTACGGAGAGCAATATTGTAGGGGCGTAACCACGGTCAAAGTTCTCCGTTGAAGCAGCAGTGGTTCCAGCAATCCATTTCTCAGATTTGGGATCGTAGATACCAACGCGGACAAGCGATACCGTCTCGGGTAGCTCAGGAGCCTCGTAGGAAACAACCTCGGTGGAGATGAGGGAGGCGGCGTCGTAGGCGATCTCAGCTAGGGGCTGAGGCAGTGAGGGTGCGGATTGGATGGGCTGGACGTAGATTTGGGCGGTGCGCTGCTCGGCTATGGCAAGCGCGGCAGCGCAGATTGTTGACAGAAAACTCGCGATCCTCATTGTGATTGCGAGTTGAAATTCCCCTTGATATACGGAGAGATGATGGTAATGAAGAGGGACAGTACTAAGCTATCAGAGCTTAAACGACACCTGGGAGGTAGGTTGACGCTGCGGCGGGTGATCGTCGGTTAATTTAGATGTCAGCAAAACCAGCACTCTCTCACATGAATGATGCCTGTAGATGTATAGAACTCGTGAAGTACTAAGCTTGAGTAACTCCCATATAATTGCACTAAAATAATGGAGAAATCCCAGTAAGGTCCAGTTAAGTTAAAGAAAAGTTTGATTCTAGAGTGTAGCTTCTTGCCTCTGAAATATGTACTTAAAACATCCGTTGCCTTTCCTTCCCTAGAAACCATCATGATACAATCAAGTAAATCGCCTAACGCAAAACGCCTGTAAATGTTGTGCTATGCATAACCATCCCTTGATCTTCTCATCATGCCCATATTCCCATTTGTCACATGATCCTCAATGAAACACGGTATCCTCTCGTTTCCCTATTCGATCCGCGAAGATGGAGATGGGTCGTCCATATCTCGGTATCGTATGAGAGCCAATCGTTCCACAACTTTAATCTTCCAAGGCAGCGTTGTCGCCGTCTTCGATCTCTTCGTCGTCGTCCTCTTCGTCCTCTTCGTCGGAACCATCCGATTCTAGCACGTATCCGGGTGTCCGCTCCACAAGACCCTTGTAATATGCAACGAGAACTTCGGGATTTGGAACAATTTTCCAGTCCACGCGGTAAAGGAATTCCAATTCTAGTAATTTGAGTTCGGCAACTCGAACTCCACCAACCCGGGCATAAGTGGTGTTATTCCAAAAAGAGTCTGATAACCCTTTGGCTGCAACTGTCGCTGCAGTTATGAGAAACCGATGCACGGTTAACGTATTAATAGTGAATTCTTGATACATAGCACAGAGCCGATCAATATAGTAGACCATCGCTAAGAGAAGTGGTGGTGTCAAGGTCGCATGGCGAGCCAAACGGTGCAAATAATCTCGAACTGATATTCCGGGCGGCGTTCTGAATACATGTTAGTTCTTAGTCACAGGTTAATGGTCGAGGAGTTGCTATACCTTGAGTGAAAGCGTGTCAAACCGCCGTTCGATATCCGAATGGCGTCATTTGTAGTGATCAGCTCTGACAGCATATGCGCAACCAGTTCTACCATGTCCTCGATGGCACAGAATTCATAGCGGTCCGGTAGCACTTTTGACGGCGGTGTGTCTGGTTTTGGTCGTTTGCTCGTTTGTGGTGATGAGCTGGAAGCGACAGTGGCTTGGGACTCAATCGGAGCGGGTGAGCTTCGACGTTTAGTTGGTGAAACCCCGCTTAGAGATTGACCTGGTTGCACAGGTTGGTCCTGAGAGGATCGTGAGGGGGGAGCAGGATGGGGCGATTGCGAAGGTTGTGCAGAGGCCTTTTGGGAGAGTGAGGACGGTGGTCGATGGGCTTCGTTAGGAGAGCCATGTATGCCTGGATCATTTGCGACGTATTGTCTCGGGCGTTGTATTGGAGAGGACTTCATGGCGTCGGCGGAAGGAGAAGCGTTGGAGCGGGTAGAAGGCCGTCGCCGGAGAGCTGGCGAAGGCTTGGAGGAGTGCTGAGGAGACGAGGTCGCATATCGAAAAGCGGTAGGTGAGGCATTGGTGGAAGCGGACAGAGCTGGTGACGTCTTCAGCATGATTTGCGGCGCATCGTCGAGCTGTCGGTTCGTCGGGGTCGTTTTGGGGGTCGAGGGGTTTTGCAGTAGTTGAAATGTGCGATTGGGCTTTGCCAGACAGGTTGTCTTTGGTAGGGCTGAAGGAAAGATTCGATGCTGAAAGTCGGTAAAGCAAAGACAAGGATTTGATTTGCAAGATGTTGGCAAGTGGCAACGGACAGGACGAGTAAGTGAAAGTCACTGTCAAGGGTTCAAGCCGGGGATAAGTTAGCTGGAGTAGAGCCAAATCGCGAATTAGATCATGGCGTTGTATCGATTCATCCCATGTGGGCGCGGCGCTGGTGCTGGCGCAATCTGAAAGTCAGGCACTGCGCTATGTACCAGAACGCTCACCGAGGGAGACCAAACTAAAGACTAGCCAGAGGTCCCAAAATGGCCTGGGCTGCTATGTTGGTACAGTAGGTAGATTATGGTCGGCACGCGGACAAAGAGTTTGGCTCTGGGATGACGATGGGTGGACTTCAATGCATTGGGTGAGAGTATGAGTGGGTGTGGATAAAGATCAAGGTCCAGTAACTTGCTGAAAGAAGAAGGCTACGGACAAGCCCGGGGCCGGGGTGCCGGGGGCTCAATTCTCTTCTTTCTAGGGGACTCTGGGCTTGTAATGAAAGGCCGGACCGCGCTGAGAAGTGAGGTGACAGCCCCAGGACAGGTGCAGAATTTCTCACCAGTGGAGACCCGGTGAGAAGTCACTCTATCCATCGTAAATGCCATAGGTTGCTCATTTGACGAGATCCCCATTCATCTTGGCAAGCCGAACTTGGCACAATGACTCGGGTAGAATAACGAATCCGAGCTACCTCTGCAAGCCCTAACATGAAGTTAGATGAGTTTTCTTCCCCTCGAGCACGGAAATATTTCCTCTCCAAGAGGGCTCGATAATGGCGGCAAAAGAGAGAAAGAAAAAGGCTCTTTTCCCCTCTTAAACCCTGATTGGATAATAATGCGTTTGAGATGGCGTCAGAGTGTGTCTTCATAAGGCACACCCACACGTTTAAGATCAGTCGTTGTGACAGGTCCATCCTACATGAATTGGTGATGGCTTCGTAAATGAGTTTTCTAAGCACACTGTTAAACTATTGAAATTGCCCTGTGTGCTCCAGCGAGCCTTTTCATGATTAATACAAGCAGACACTGTATCGGACTGGAATGAGGATGCTTCTCTAGCACTATAGTTACCCCCTTGGTATTGGACGTTGAGGTTACCCCAGACGGGATGCACGTTCATTCCCCAGAAAGAGCCTCGTACATGTTGGCTACTATGCGACGTTCGTGAGCCACTCGATACGCAACGTGGAGGGAACGACGCTCCGCCAAAGGTCAGAGGATAACTGACGGCCCCGGCACCTTGAGAGCCAATTCTATTTACCGACGCGGATCATTCTAAGTTAGGAGCTCGGTGAATGATTAGAGTATCGTGGAGGAGATTGGTGCTGCGGAGCGATATTGTTA